GCAATTTTGTTCAAGTATCTAAAAGTTTAGCTATACATACAAGTCAGAAAATCATTTGATTAGCTCATCAAAATGATTACTTAGGAATCTCAAACACGATGAGTAATATTACAAAATGTTTTGACAGTTTAACAATTAACTTGTTCTATATAATTATTTTGTTTGTCTGACAAAATTATCTTCAAATCGGCATGTACACTGTAAAAAATAAAATGTTAATTTTAACATATTTTTGCATGTCTCAGAAAATCCACTCAATGTCTTTGAGTTAAAATTAACATTTTATTTTTTACAGGGTATGTAGCTAAAATTTTAGATACTTGAACAAAACTGTCTTTTCCGTGCAACTAGAAATTTTTCTCAGTGTAACTGAATTTTTTACTTTAACAAAACGTTCTTTCGGTGTCAAGATTCTGACTTTAAAAAATATATGTATAATATGAGAAGGCGGAAGTATGCGGAATAATAAAATCGAAGTTATATTACCCAAATGCACGTAAAATTTTCTATTTCCTGGCGTTTAACTTCACGCGAGAATTTATGTAAAACACGAATTTATTTCGAGGCCCGTCAGACTACTAAAAATATCATAGCTATTTCATACTTCCCTCTGTAATATAAAATTACCCCATAATTAAGAAATTACATTTGAATATGTACGCCCACAAATTAATTAATATATTATAATATTACGTGGGTGAAATAGCCTTACAATCTCCATTACTACAAAATATCCGCTACGGTGTATTTGAATGTAATAATTCAGTGGGAATGCTCGCATGGAATTCTTTATATTCGTCTCGGCAAACTTTATGCATTCTTGGGTCTAAAGAAAGAGAAAGAAATGCACTAAAAATCACAAGTAACAAAACGACAATCCTTATACAGTTCAAGCATTTCCTTTAATCCGTCACTGCGAGAAAGAGATGGGTGAAGAACCATTGTTGAAATTCCTCGCTGTAAAAGCCGGTCCCCGAACAATTCGACGCAAAGGCTCATTCTCGTGGCGAAAAAGAAAAAAATATATATATACCTATATATAGCGAGGAAAATCTAGCAGGGCCGATGATCGTGCACGCTGAAGTGCGCGCCCCGGCGATTCTATTGTTGCGCACCGCTGTCGCGCGGAGTGCATAATTAATGACCTTCGTGCCGGCGAGTTTTGCATTGCAAATGCCACTCGCGGAACGTTCGCACGCACGTATGTATGTATAAACGCACGTGTGTCCGTGCTAGGAATAGAGAAAAAGGCGACGAAGGAGGAAGGAGGCAAGAGAGGGAAACGGGAACGCGGACCGTTTTGCCCGGACAAGCGGTGTGAAAGTTTCGGGTTCGCCGATGATGACAATCGGCACGTAACTTTGCGCGTAGCCCCCTTGTGTATCACTATCGACGGTGACCTCCTTTCCGATCCGACAACGTCGGTTTGTCATTCACCGACGAAAGCGTATTTCCGCGCTGCATAATCAATTACCTTGCTGTTAACAATAATCGTGGAATTTATCGTGAAGCTTACTCACTGACCAAGTTTCTCAAAAGACCGAATATGCATAATTTGACACAAAATAGTTCTTCGGAAAAATTAAGAGAAAGATAAAAATTGCAAAACAGAACTATCTAATTGGGTCGCATTGCCCGAGTGTAATTACGCCATTTTAATTACACAGTGAACCGTATAATTAATATCAGTCGGTCACAGTTAATAGCATCGGCCTTTCTCAAGTTATTTGCAGTATGCAAAACCGTTCAAGTGGTAAAGTCTAGTACGTACGTTATGTGCAAGCAATTAATAAACTTAAACGTCATATTTCCCAAGTGTAAAAAGTTCTCTCATCCATACTATCGCCTGATGCAGACACCAACGATAAATTATTCATAATCTTGATGAAACAACTAAGAGAGTCTGAGACAATGGTTTGTGGTATATAATTAATTTCCTATTCAAATATCATTTTAGTGTTATTAATTTCTATTGATTGGACATTTATGAAAAAATACAAATATCTCTATGAATATTTATTTTTTTTTAAGTTTCCAATTAATATATGAGTTTTTGTGATTATCTTAGAATGATCCTATAAGAATGATCTTAGTCTTCTATCGTTTTGTTCATTCATCTTAACGATACAATAGCAATTCTCGATTACAGCGTAAAGAAATCCTATTGTTGTGAATAGTTTTGAATGTTCAATTGACAAAAATTTAAAGAATTATTTCTCAACTATAAATCTTTTCAACTGAAAGAAGATAACATTTGTCATACAATGTAACGGTAAATCATTTCCGAAGAAATTTATGATGTTTAAAATTTAACACGAATATAGAAATAAAATGTCTAATTTATGATTCTATTCTACTTTTCTTCCTTATTTCCTCAAAGAAAATCCGCTCTAAAAAGTTTTTGTTAAAAGGAAAAGAAGAACTGAAAATGTGTGTGCGATTGAGTCAAATTAATTTTTCGTTTTCCAGGCAACTGCTCTTATTGTTAATTACTCACGTATATATTCTGCGTACCACTCTAACTTAAAATTGCCAATACACCGTATTTGCGGGATCATTTGTGCTACTACCGTTTTTATTATCCTGCTCTTCTTTTAGTACGTGCCTACACAAAGTTAATCGTAATCTATTTTGAATTTTTATACATATAATGTAGTCTCAGTCACGTTGCACCATTTTTCTTTAGAAATAAACGCAGGTGAATAGGCGTAAATAAAAATTAACTTAATATCTTCTTTGTTGAATATATTTGCCACGTGATAAAAAAAAACGGGAAAGAAAATCTTTGAAATATCTATATCGAGATCATCGTATCCATAATTCACTTCGATGATGGAAAATAATTGCGGCAACGAGCAACAGCTAACGAGAAGCTACAAAGCGCGGATGCCTCGTCGAAATTTCACGCTCGCGTTCGTGCCACGCGGTGTTTTCAGCGAAATCGTTAGCCAATCTCGGATGTGCTAAACGCGTGTCACGGTTCGCCGACGGTGGCTTGGCGAGATGCCAAGGTCGACGATGGAGCCGCGCGCGAAATCAACCCGCGCTATTGTGCTCGGAAACACGTTAATCGCGCTTATCGGACAATGCACCGATGCACCGAAGCATTGCAAACCTGTTCGCTGACCCTGATGCAAATATCCTGATATCGCGGATACGTGGACTGCATTCGAAAAAAAACTACTCTAGAGCGAAGCTCTCTGTCCCCGTTTAAAGTAAAAGATTGAATCTATTAATTTGTTAATTTTCTACGATACGTGTATATAATAAGTAGATATAAATCGGCGAATGTAATAATTATTTTACCTCATGTATATGTTGTGTCCTTATTATATTTGATAATTGGGTGCAAGGAAGAAATTGTAAGGAATTCCTTTTAATATTCAATTCATGAGAAGACTGCTCCTTTCCTAAACATCTAAATGATGCCATTATTTTTAACTTAACTCACTATAATTTTAGTTCAGAATGAAACTTGTTTTGTATATACTACTGTTTGTATATCAATTCAGAATTTCACACATCACCAATTAAACACACTAAATTATACATTCATAAACGATAGTTATGAATAAAAAATATTTTATAATTTTTTTAAAAGAGTAGAATTGTTGCAACTTCTTTCAACAATGTACAGAACTGCACAGATCTTCTTTTAACTCTCCAGGACTGAACACGAATGGATAGGCGAACACAAGGAACGCAGTAAAGCAAGAGTTTAAGAGATAGTGTATTATACGACCTCCTTCCTTTATACCTAACAAGAAGTGTTCTCTCTCTCTCTCTCTCTCTTTTCTTATTGGCCTTTCATAATTTTTTCATAATTTATTATGCCCACTGGTTTATGCATCTCGATAATTATAACTTGTGTAAAGTCGCGAAAAAATTGCATTATAATGTCAGATTTTCGTCTCAATCAAAAATTTATCACAAACGTACTACACTCACGCAGAAGTTACTTTAAAAGTAAATTAGAAAAATTATACTAAACCTATATTCTTTTGCACAAAGATAATCTAACGCTTTTATTATTAAAATCTTTTATTGCTTTTTATGATACTGAAACATAATTTGTTTCAAACGGATTTTAATTTTTATCAAAAATAAAAAAAGATAAGATATTAGTATCAACCTTTATACATAATATATCGAATGATTTTATGTGAAAACAATAGATATCTTTATCGTCTATTTTCTTCTTTTATTTTCAAATTGTTGTTCTATCTAGGAATTTCTCTTTCAAAAAAAGAAAAATAAGGAGAAAGCAGAACTTAATACCTTTTTAATTTTTTTACGATTTTTTATTTATAATCAGCATGATTAATGAATGACAATTCCGTGTCGAGTTTTTGCGATTTCTTAAAAAATTTTTATTTAATTCAGATTTCTTTGCAACAATTGCCATTTCTCCATTTATATCTTATAGATATAAGATCGCGAAATAACGATTTTATATATACTGCGAAGCAAACTACATGCCTTCCTTGAAGGAAACTATCATAAAGCTTCTTCGTTATCAACTTGTTAGAGGTAGTTGAGCTAAAACAAGGGATGCTACCTTCAGTCTCGAAAATAAGAGAAAATAATAAAATACCGATAATTAGCTGTCAAAAATTATCAAATCCAAATATTTCGGACACTTTTGACAAAAGGATCTTCCGGCTCTGCAAGAATGCAGATATCTATATTAGCAGAAGGTCTCAGTTCTACTACTTCCAATAAGATGATTATTTTTTACTTAATTAGTAAAAGTTTAGTGAGTATTATATCTGTGTCTTTTATGACTCAAGCTTTGTTTTCTTTTTAATGCCCTTGATAACTGAAAAAACTAGTCACTGCCCGAACATGAACATGTTCTTTAAATTCTGCATCAATTGAAAAGAAAAGCCATTAAAATAAGAAATCGTAAACAAATCGAAAACAAATAATCCTAATCTCAAGGATAAGATATGAAGGAATGTATCATGTCAAAATAAAATGAGTAGTAAAGAGTGACATACCTTTTGTTGTGCCAGCCTAAGTGACTCCTCAAAGTGTTTATGAACCGCCTGTTCGGCCCTCTGTTTCTCGAGCCTTTCCCGTTCCATCTTCTTTTCCATCTCGCGTACTTCCGCTTCACGACGTTCCCTGTAACAAGCAAGCAAACGAAAATTCAGTCTATGCACAGTTACGCGAATCGGTGCGTACAAATTAGTACACGGCTTACAAAATCACTGACGATTAAGAACGGATTTATAATAATACAAAGACGAATTGCATTCTATAAATGCAACATCGTCTATAAATGTGTTAAAAAAAATTACGAGTACATATTTCTTTGAATAGTATTAACATCTCTCTCTCTCTCTCTCTACTTGCAATAAATAAATTTCCTCAATAAAAAAATGACAGTTTAGTAAATTGATGATTTTATGTCAAATATAAACACAAATGTATATGTTTACAACTAGTAAATATTTATTTAGAATAATTTCGACATTTATTAAAGTTTAATTTTTTGCCAGTGTAAATTTCTAATGGCATTAAGTCAGACAGCTTTAACAGCGCGTAATCTTAGCTATGACGTGTACATGATAATTAATTCTTAATTGCAAGTTAATAAAAATTCACACAGCTACTTATAATTACTCGTACATAACTTGTAATAAGTTTTACAAACAGACGTTACGTGTTGGTTAATTAAAATTTCTCTACCTCTCCTTTGTCTACCGATAGAAGTTCGAAATTAGTCATTTCGATTAATTAAATCATCCCATTGATATTTTTATTTTAAGATCTTCGAAAGAGACTAACGTCAGAGGCGCGAACGTCTTTATATACAGAGTGCTCTGCAACGATGCTTGAACGATAGATGTAATTTATACGCGCGTAATTTATATGGCCATAAAGAAACTCCTCCACGGTCGCTCTCATGCTCCCCCGCATTTGCGTTCTTTATCGATTTATCTCTGCCCTACGGCCTCCGTTCGCAAAGCTCGGCGGAAATCGCAAATGGCGTAACGCGAGGGGAAAAGAGAAATACGGGGGCTCCCCGTCTCTCTAGGGGCAACGAGCTCTGTCAGCTGTTACCGTTACTCGAGGGGAAATCAATTGTCGGATCTCTCTGCGTTCTCCAGTTACAGTCGTGTTTCCTTTTTACACTTTGCGAGATATAGATTTTCGCAGTCATTTACATGTATCGTTTCTCGAACTTTGAGGTATACACAGCGAAGACAATTTATAAGAGTACCTAATTCACACAAAATTCAATCAATTCACACGCACAATTTGTGCCAAGAAAATTTATAAACTTATACACTTGGAGAAAAACATTGCGATAGCAACAAGTTTCATATGTAGAATGAATGCACAGTTGAATAAATTATTTTATATTTCAACTATAAAATCGCATCGACTATGTATTATATATGAATTGTATATGTAAATTAAGTAGTTACGTCAAATTTTTGTATAGATATTGATTCTACACATAAAAACTATAGTCTTTTATAATTGCCATCATTATATATCTTTTTCTCTGAATGTAGAAAGAAGAGACATGGTTTCTGATAATTATGCGCAGAAACTGATATTGTACACTTATTGTTATCGTATCATCCTACAGCGTGTTTTATTTATGTTATTCGCGCGCCGTCTTCCACAAAATTCGCTCTAGCATCTATGTAACTTTTATCTGTTCGCCTTCCCGAAGCAGCAAGAAATTCGCTCGTCCCGCATAAACGCAACGCGCATCGACGGAGATAATAAAACGCAGCGTCTGGCTGGAATATCTATCTCGCGGCTCTTCAAGGGGCAGAGAAGAGCGGGGTAAGATAAGAGCATTCTCATTAACGCTTGCGCAAGTTATTTATACTGTTACGTGCGCAACGCGCGTGTTTATCTGCACGCTCGGTCGGCGGACCTTACAATGCACGCGCGCGATAAATACGTCCGCGCGTATCTTCACTTCTCTCTATCCTTCTCCCTCGCTTCTCTTCTCGCCGCTATTTCTCTCGTCCCTCTCTTTATCTCAGCGCGCGCGCGAGTGCGCTGCACTCGGGCACACCGTCTTGAAAAAAGCAAACCGCTATTGACGTACACAACACAGGTATGGTCTCCTAAGCGAGACATGAAAATGATAACATAATGTGACTGAGACGAAAACTATTTGAATTCTTGACCGATACTATTAGTCGTATCTGTCAAGCCGGTTAAAATACCGAACAGATAAGAGCTACTACTTTTTATCAGGTGTGTAATAAAAATATAAGAGTAATGCTTTAAAGTAGCGATATTGCATGTAAAATCCGCCAGTTGAAGATAAAAATGATGCTTTGTATTTTATACAAACGAAATGAGACCAGCAAGACTTTACCTGTTTCTGTGAATGACTTTCTAGATAACTTTTAAAGAAAGCTTGCACATTGTTGCTTTAATAGTAAAATACTAAACAGAAATTTTCTGATGCATTCCTCAAGCTATTGACCTTGATATAAAAGGATAGATTCGTTGTGATCATTAGTGATTATCTTTTGATAAGTGAGTATAATAATAGTAATATATAGTTTTATCGTACAGTGCCAAGATGTAATAAAATAATTTTAAAGTTATACCTTTTTCATTCCTTTAGTCATTCATCGTGAAAGAACGCGTCATGGACGTAACACGTGCAACTCATTCCACGTTTGCACTTCGACATTTGCGACATCGCTTGTTAAAATGCGTTTAAGAGCGCATGTTATCGCAGTTGTGTAAACGTAGAGACTTATCTACTCGCCTTTTGCTGACTGCATCATATTTAATATCGCGACGCCGAAACGCAATTACGCGCAATCGCGTTATTAATCCTTGCTCGCCCGTGTAATTTAAACTTCGTTATCTATTGTCGTGAAATTTTTTCGAGGTCACAGATATCTGCAAATAGCATAGATCGTCAGTTTTTAAGTGACTCGAAGTAATTGAGTCACAGACTACCTTAGCGGATCGCGAGACAGTGATTCAGTTTTGTCAGAAAAATAGAATGCTTTTAACAATTCGTGTAGTAACTAACTTTTAAAATTAAATTAATAATTTTCTCTCCTCTCTCTCCCTCCCTTTAAACTCTCTTTTTATTTTATAAACGCGTTTCAACCAATATCTACTTACATGCTATTTCATATTAAAAACGGAAGGTCTAAACATTGAAAATTAAAATTAAAAACTAAAATATTATTACCCGTATAATTTCAATTGAAAAAAGTTGACTTTGTTTACGTAATTAGCACAAAATTAATATTAAAAGTTCAATATTAATATCGAATAGATGGTTTACAAAGACGAACATATTTTTCAGATTCAATATAAGCCTCATAGAACTTCCTGTACATAAGAACGTCATTGAGAAGCAAGATTCCGTTGGTATTCGTACGTATTCGAGTGTGCATGCATCCGACTCTTCGAAATTGCACGACAAGGACAACGATAATGTACATAATGCAGCTCAGCAGCAAGAGTGGCTGTCAAAGCAGGAAGAAATAAAGGCAAGGCACTTCTAGGAGATCCGCACTCGAAGAAGCACACGCATGCATTTCTTAGAAGATAAAATGTGCCATTATGATGCTACAATACGCCAAAGTCATACGTAGTATACAGAATATCAGAAAAATCATTACTATAAACTCTTCGAATCTTAGAAAATCTAATAAGAATTTCAGATTAGACAAGCTTTAACTTGTCGTTCTGATAATCCCTCCCAAAAATTCCAACGATTATCCCTAATAATCAAATAACTGAAATTTTTAAGTTCCAGTGCCTAAGAAATTCAAAAGTTGAAACTCACCGAACTTTTTCTATAGAAACTGTACAACAGAATATACTCTAACATATTGAAGGATATACAAAAACGAGAAAGGAAGTTTTTCTACCTGCTCTCTTCCTGCTTTTTCAATTCATTTTAGTCTTTAGGTACCCTACTTGTTAGACTTGTGAAGACCCAGCATACCCTCCCCTCCCCCTTATAAATAGAAGTAAAATCAACAGAAGTGTAAGAAATGCAGTGAATCTCTATCCTTATTTTACGTGTGCATATTCATAGTAATGGAAAAAAACAGAAGTAGGTACTTCACCGTAGTTTTGCTCTCACTCACTCTCGTTGTTATGTCGACTCCATTTCTCCTAAGAGCATGGCTGAGCCTGTTTAAAAAATCGACGACTCTATGTCCACTGACCAATCAGTCTTTGAGAGACTATCGAACGAGTAGTATCAATCTCTCGAAAAAACTAACGTTAAAATTTCAACACTGATATCAATTAAATAAATAGTAACAAATAAATACTCGTGTTTGGAAGTAACAATATAAATCGATTCTTTCCTGAAATATCGCGGAGTGTATGCTCGATAACAACTAATCTTTTATGTAAATATTCCATTATTTCGTGAAGTGACGAAACAGCGATTTTTAAGTGACGAAGTGAAAATATTGTGTGAATAAAGAATCAGTGAAGAAATTAAAACGCCAGAGACATCGAACGGTTTTCTCTTTCTCCTGTTCTGAATATCAACTAGATACATATAAATAAGACTATTTTTAAATTTTTTCAATTTCTAAAATTTGGTTAGCTCGAATATCGTAATAACGGACATTCCTTCAAAGTCGATATCGTTTGACTCTCTCCCTTTGAGAAGTAATGATTAATACCGATGATTTTGCATAAGCTTGTAAAGTGTATGCGTAAAACGGAAAAAAATAGCACTGTTAGCATAGATATGCGCGCGCGTGGCAAGTATAATATTATTCCTACGCGAAAGTGTTAAGAAATCGTGACCTAAAGTCAACTGGTTTGTATTCGAGCGATAGCGAAAGTCTCGTTTTACTCAGCGAACAAATACAATAACGACTCCGGTACTTTTTTTGCTTTTGGCCCAGCCAAAATAAATCCGTTTTTGCGCGATGTTTACATCGGTGAGGATTATTCCTCGTATAACGTATGGGAAAAACAGAAATTTCGCCGAGTTTCGGGGAAGCGATCATTGATGAGATCGCGAGGAATATTTACGAGCGTGACGGGACCGCCAGATATATGTATATTTACAAACGTAACGACAACAGCTACTCAACTCCCATTGTTAACCCGCTTGTCGCTCGAGGAATTTCAAGGACTA